CCAACCCCACTATGAATCAGTCTTTTTATATCAGAGAAAACATTTGGCATTTGTTTTTTGGGGATTAACTGACTTCACTTAGCATTATCTTCTCCACCTCCATCCATTTTCCTGCAATCGCCATGATTTTATTCTCTTTTATTGCTGAATAATATTCCATTGTGTATATATGCCACATTTTTCTTTATCCATTCATCTGCTGAAGGACATTTAGGTTGGTTCCACAGTTTAGCTGTTGTGAATTGTGCTGCAATAAACATTAATGTGGCTGTGTCCCTGGAGGATGCTGTTTTTAAGTCCTGTGTGTTTAGACTGAGGAGAGGGATAGCTGGGTAGAAAGGTGGTTCCGTTCCCAGTTTTCCAATGAATCTCCATACTGCTTTCTGTATTGACTGCACCAATTTGCAGTCCCACCAGCAATGTATGAATGGACCTTTTTCCCTACATCCTCGCAACACTTATTGTTGTTTGTATTCTTGATAGCTGCCATTCTGACTGGAATGAGATGAAATCTTAGAGTGATTTGCATTTCTCTAATTGCTAGAGATGTTGAACATTTTTTCATATATTTATTAATTGACTGTATATCCTCTTCTGAGAAGCCTCTGTTAAGTCCTTTGCCCATTTATTGATTGGGTTATTTTTTTTTTTTTTTGAGTTTAGCTTTGTGAGTTCTTTATATACCCTAGAGATTAGTGCTCTATCTGATGTGTGAGGGGTAAAGATTTGCTCCCAAGATGTAGACTCTTTATTCACCTCACCAATTGTTTCTTTTGCTGAGAAGAAGCTTTTTGGTTTGAATCCATTCCATTTATTAATTCTTGATTTTAATTTTTGCACTATAGTAGTCTTGTTAAGGAAGTAGGAGCTTAATCCCATATGATGGATGTTTGGGCCTACTTTTTCTTCTATTAGGCACAGGGTCTCTGGTTTAGTTCCTAGATCCTTTATCCACTTTGAGTTGTGCATCGTAAGAGAGAGGCTTCATTTCATTTTGTGGCATATGGATTTCCAGTTTTCCCAGCACTGTTTGTTGATGAGGCTATCTTTTCTCCAATGTACATTTTTGATGCCTTTGTCTAATATAAGATAACTGTAATTATGTGGGTTAGTCTCTGTGTCCTCTTTTATGTACAATTTGTCTACCAGTCTCTTTTGGTGCCAATACCACCAAAAGAGTTACTATTGCTCTGTAGTATAGTTTAAGGTCTGGAATAGTGATGCCACCTGCTTGACTCTTCCTGCTAAGGATTGCTTTAGCTACTCTGGGTCTCTTATTTTTTCAGATGAATTTCATGACTGCTTTTTCTATTTCTGTGAGGAATGTCATTGAGATTTTGATTAGAATTGCATTAATCTGTGTAATGCTTTTGGTAGTATGGTCAATTTGAAAATATTAATTCTGCATATCCAAGAACAAGGGAGATCTTTCCATCTTCTAAGGTCTTCTTTAATTTCTTTCTTTAGCATTCTGTAGTTTTCATTTTATAGAGAGTTATCTCACCTCTTTTGTTAGGTTGATTCCCAAGTATTTTATTTTATTTCATTTTTTGAGGCTATTGTAAATGGGGTAGTTTCCCCATTTCCCTTTCAGAGAATTTGTCACTGATATTCAGAAATGCCTTTGATTTATGGGTGTTGATTTTGTAACCTGCTACTTTCCTGAATTCATTTACTAGTTCTAGAAGTTTTCTGGTGGAATTTTTTGGGTCTTCTAGGTATAGAATCATATTGTCGGCAAATAGTGCTAATTTGAGTTCTTCTTTTTCTATCTGTATCCCTTTAATTTCTTTTGTCCATCTAATTACTCTGGCCAGTATTTCAAGAACTGTGTTAAATAAAAGTGGTGAAAGAGGGCATCCCTGTCTTGTTCCAGTTTTTAGAGGGAATGCTTTCAATTTTTCTCCATTTAGAATGATGTTGGCCTTGGGCGTAGCACAGATAGCTTTTATGATGTTGAGATATGTTCCTGTTATCCCTAATTTTTCTAATGTTTTGAACATGAAGGGGTACTGTATTTTGTTGAATGCTTTTTCTGCATCTGTTGAGATGATCATATGGTTCTTATCTTTAAGTCTATTGATGTAATGAATTACATTTATTCATTTCCATACATTGAATCAACCTTGCATCCCTGGGATGAACTCCACTTTATCGTGGTGTACTGTCTTTTTGATATGTTTTTGTATTTGATTTGCGAGAATTTTTGCATCTGTGTTCATTAGAGATATTGGTCTGAAGTTTTCTTTCTTTGATATGTCTTTGCCAGGTTTTGGAATCAGGGTGATATTATCCTCATAGAATGAGTTTGGAAATGCTTCCTCTTTTTCTATATCCTGAAATAAATTAAAGAGTGTTGGTATTAGTTCTTCTTTAAAGGTCTTGTAGAACTCCATCTGGTCCCAGGCTTTTTTTTTTTTTTGGGGGGGGGCGGGGTTAATAGGCTTTTGATGGCATCTTCCATTTTCTTGTTTAAAATTTGATTTGTTTAAATTGGGTATATCATCCTGATTCGATTTGGGCAAATAATATGACTCTAGAGTTTGTCAATACCTTTGATATTTTCTATTTTATTGGAGTACAAGTTTTCAAAATAATTTCTAATTATCATCTGTATTTCTGTAGTGTCTATTGTGATATTTCCTTTTTCATCATGTATGTTTGTAATTTGACTTTTCTCTCTCCTTGTTTTCATTAGCATGGCTAAGCATTTGTCAATTTTATTTATTTTTTTCAAAGAACCAACTTTTTGTTTTGTCAATTTTTCCAATAGATTCTTTTGTTTCAATTTCATTGATTTCAGCTCTGATTTTGATTGTTTCCTATCTTCTACTGCTTTTGGTGTTGATTTGTTTTTCTTTTCTAGGGCTTTGAGATGTAATGTTAAGTCATTTATTTGTTGACATTTTCTTCTTTTAAGGATTGAACTTCATGAAATGAACTTTCTTCTTAGTTCTGCCTTCATTTGCACACAACTTTTCATTTCTCTGGTTGCATACAATGTAGCTTCATACCATATGTGCAGTCATACATGTACATAGGGTAATCATGTCCATCATTACACCATCTTTCTTGCCCCCATGCACTTTCCCCACCTCTCTCTCCCCTTTCCCCAAATAAAAAAGTTCTTCATTTTTTCCATCCTCCTACCCCCCCAATTAGGGATCAGCATCCACTTACCAGAGAGAACATTCGGCCTTTGGTTTTTTTGGGATTGGCTTACTTCACTTAGCATTATCTTCTCCAACTCCATCCATTTACCTGAAAATGCCATGATCTTATTCTCTGTTATTGCTGAGTAATATTCCATTGTTTATATATGCCACTTTTTTTTTTTATCCATTCATCTACTGAAGGGCATCTAGGTTAGTCCCACAGTTTAGCTATTGTGAATTGTGCTGTAGTAAACATTGATGTGGCTGTGTCCTTGTACTATGCTACTTTTAAATCCTTTGGGTATAGACCGAGGAAAGGAATAGCTGGGTCAAATGGTGATTCCGTTCCCAGTTTTCCAAGGAATCTATATTGCTTTCCAGATTGGCTGCATCAATTTGCAATCCCACCAGCAGTGTATGAATGTACCTTTTCCCCCACTTATTGTTGTTTGTCTTCATAATAGCTGCCATTCTGACTGGAGTGAGATGAAATCTTAGAGTAGTTTTGATTTGCATTTCTCTAAGTGCTAGAGATGATGAGCATTTTTTCATATATTTGTTGATTGATTGTATATCCTCTTCTGAGAAGTGTCTGTTCAGGTCCTTGGCCCATTTATTGATTGGGTTATTTGTTTTTTTGGTGAGGAAGTACTTTTTAAATGATGATTGTATACATTTTTCTCTGTGTATACAGATAGGCATTAAAAATTGTTTCAGATTCATCTATTTTAAATGATCACATGAGATAAAATATGTGAAAGCTTTCTAAAAAACATAAAAGTACAGTGCAGTGTTCTCATGGCTGTGGTTGTCATTGTGGTCATCATCATCAAAAAACATCACCTAGGGGCTGGGGATGTGGCTCAAGCGGTAGCGCGCTCGCCTGGCATGCGTGCGGCCCGGGTTCGATCCTCAGCACCACATACAAAACAAAGATGTTGTGTCCGCTGAAAACTAAAAAATAAATATTAAAAAATTTAAAAAATAAATAAATAAAATAAAATGAGTTTTAAAAAAATCACCTTTGAGTCATTGAGTCATCTTTCCCACTCTGGGGAATTAAATACAAAATAGAAAATATGTTAAGAAGTGAAGTCCACTTTGAAAGAACTTATTCATGCAATGTCTATAATAAGGAAAAACAGAAAACATTGTAAATATTCAGTAATTGGAAAATGCATTTAAAAATTATGTTACTTCATTAGATATTATAAAACATGTTAATTGTATCATTGTAGATATATGAGAAAATTTTCATTTAATTGAGAAAGCATTAAAATATATTCACCTTGTGGCATTTTTTATAAAAGTATGTAAGTATAAAGATTGGAAGAGATATATAGAAACATGAGAACAATTATAGTGAGATGGATTTGTGAATATTTATTTTTATTATTATAACATCTCTTTAAATATCTTTGATCCCTGTTTTTTTAATATTCTGTTTTATATATACCTGTGTTCAACAAGTTATGCTCCCATATCAGTTTGCATGGCCTTTTTAAGGCTCAATTACAATACTGTTTGACATGAAATTGTGAAATAATTATATTTCTTTTTTTTTTTTTTTTTGCTGTGCCAGGGATTGAACCCAGGGCCTTGTGCATGTGAGGCAAGCACTCTACCAACTGAGCTATATCCCCAGCCCCCAATATTTCCTTTCTTGTGGTTTTAGTGTATCTAGTAATTTTATATATTTTGTCAGTTATGTTGTCTTTTTAACCTAGTTTTTAAAATGTTATGCAGTATCTGATCATTTGTTGAATGCTACAGTTTCGTGGCTTAATCATTTGGTTATGCTTTTGCAATGATGAATCAAACTAATGATGGATTCATTTTTTTCAGTAGCGCAGCAGGAGGCTGAAATGTTCAAACGCTACAATGGAACATTTCCATTACCTGGAATACACCAAAGCCAAGATGCTTTATGTACCTGTCCTAAACTGCCTCATCAAGGCTCTTTTCAAATTGATGAATTTGTCCACACTGAAAATTCTTCAACAAAGATGCAGATAGTGAAGCAGAGACTTGAAACTGTCACAGTATGTTTAATTATTATTAAAACTTAAAACCACTTCTATTGTATTTCATATTGCCTTGCAAATGAATATTAATGAAGTAAGTTAATTTCTTAAAACTAGGTTTTCATATACTTTCGTACTTCCTTTCTGAAATCATTAATTATGGTAGACTAACTAAATTTAGGATAATCTGTCATACTGTCTTGACTTGTTATTTCTGTAAATACGAGCCCAAGACCTAGTTGTAAGAAGGCTTTAAAGAAGAGCATAAGTAGGACTTGACACACATGGTTGTGACTCCTTTCCTAGAAAAGGAAGAGAAACAGTAGCCTTCTCAATCCTGCCAAGTAAGATCTCTGAGGGACAGGAGGAAGTTAATAGCCTCTGACCCTCAGCCTGTGAATTCTCAGGGTCATACCACAGGACCACTTCTTAGAAAGATGATAGTATTCAAACAGTCTCTGTCCAGGTGTTCAGATTCCCATAAAATCTTGCTCTAAATCTCATGTTTCCTTCAGTGGTTCTCAAACTTTAGTGTGTATTGGAAACGCTTGATAGTCCTATCAAAGCACAGCTTGCCAGGCTCCACACCTAGAGTTTGTGATTCAACAGATCTGAGATGTCCTATGATTTGTCGCAGTCTGGCTGGGCACAATTCAGGAGCCACTTGTCAAAAGAAACTAACTTTATTTTTAGAACCACACACACCAAACAAAACAGCTCCTCAGGAAAAACCCTCAGAGCCCAACTGCCACCACCGGCTTCCCACAAGCCTCTCAACCTCCCCCACTCCTCCTGCTCTTGAGGCCGATTGGCTGGGTCGTGTGGGCGGAGCCAAAAAAAGTCCCCCAATGAGCAGCTCAGTAGTCTGAAAGGGCAGGGAAACAGCCCAATGAGCATCACCGCAGAGGAGCCAATCAGCTAGATTTTGAGCCAATCATCAGCTGGCAGTCTGAAAGTTTGCTGGGGCCCCTTCTGCTGTGGCTCTCAACAATTTCTGACAAGTCCCAGGCAATGCTGCTGGTCAGAGGACCACCCGCTGAGACCAACTGGTCTAAAATCACAGTTCCCAAAACTTAGAAAGAACATATTAAATAGGTGTTTTATGCTCTCATCTAAACTGTAAGCTCCCTCAAGGCAGTCCTCTGTATCCCCTAGTCTACATAACTGATCTTCATTAAAAACTAAAATAGACTAGGTGATCTAAGGAAAAACTAAATTCCTAAACTTCCCTTTACACAAGTGCTATATCTTATTTTGTCTTTAACCATTTTTTTTTTCAGTATTCATTTCAGGGAGATCAGTCTGTACCTTAATTTTCTTTCCAAAACTTTCCCATTCTTTACATTTTTCCCAGCTCTTGACCTTCCTCCATGGTTTCCTATTTTCTAATTGGCGTTCTCCTATCTGACACCATACATTTGTGTACTAAGTACCTGCTAATAGCCTCTGCAAAAAACCACTTTTGCTCTCTACACCTGTGCACTATTTTTGTAGAAAGTGTTGACCAAATATATCTTGGACTTCCAAGTTGAGCTCTAACACTTGGAACAAAGAAAGTTTAGTTATTTCAAATATTTATTGATTATCTACTATATTGAGTCACTCCAGAGAACATAAAAATGTTAAATCCTTGACCTTTATTTATCTCAAGTCTGGTAGGTAGTGACAGGTATTCAAACAACTATTAGTTAGAATCTTTTCACTGTAGTACTCACATTGCCTCTTTTATTGTTGTAGTAGCCTTGTAAGATAGGCATGATGGTGATGGTTACCCTTATTTTTACAGACAGAAAAACAATTTCTGTTCAAAGGATAGATATAAAGTTTTTTAACATAAAATTGGAATATTATGTGCATAATCTCCCTTGCTATTTTTTAAAACATTTCTAACATTATATAAAGCAGTAGTAGCTAATTGTTTTTCCATGTGTAACTATTGAGCCTCTACTAGTGTTATACTGTGGAGGAATTTTGTATGGAAACTAGCGAATGAGATCACAGAGGCATTAGATAAAGAAGAAGCAGTATCACCCAAACTAATAGAACAGTAGCAGTTAATGAAAAAAAAAATTGTTGTACGTCTCGGGAGTAAATTCTCTTCACAGCCCCTCAAAACGAGACAGGAACAGCATATTCCATTTAATTTCAGCAGAGCCACAGAATAAGAGTACTGAAATCCACCAGAGATAGGTTTAGGGGATGTATGCAACCCACTGGACAGCCTGAGTTCAAAATGGTAAAATTTATTGATCTCATTTAGGGCCAGAGATGGGCCATTAAAAAGATTATGTGCATTAAGAAAGAAAAGAAAAGGCAAAGCATATCTTAAAATAATTTGTTCTAATAAACAGAATGTTTTAGGTTTTGTTCTCAATAAAATAGAAGAAATCGGGGTTTCTATTAATGAAGAAATGGAAATACAGTCTGGGATTTTGATGTAAAAGTTATCTGGCTAAGGTAAAAAGAATTTAAAGAATTTTGAAAGGCAAGGTTCAATTAATTCTACATTGCAAATGGTAAAGGGGAAAATTGACACATAAAAATATCAGATCAGTAGTATAGCCTGGAGGACTAATTTCAGAAACATCCTTAAGAATGCAGAAAAAAAAGATAAGTGAAAATAGTTAAGGCTTTACAGCTTAGGTACAGACATAGGTCTGTGGCACCAACCTATACCTGCTTTGTTATTCCAGATAAGTAAGCCTAATTTTTCCTCATCTATAAGATGGGAATTCTATTATTTATTTATTCTTTTTATATTTTGCAAGTTTTGTGGTTGACGGGATCCCCACCTTTTGTCACAATGTCTTTTTTGTTTGTTTCTTGAAATTATTTTTCAATAGACTCAAAATTCCTTTTTTTGTATAGGTTGTTCATCAATTTATAGAAGTCTGTTATTAGAGATAATTGTTTCTTTGTTAGTAAAATTGGAGTATTTTCTAATAGATTATAGTTCAGGTTTAGGATGTGATTTTGTGTGTGTGTGTGTGTGTGTGTGAGAGAGAGAGAGAGAGAGAGAGAGAGAGAGAGAGAGAGAACTGTATAATAAATTCAGCTCAGAAGGTATTTAAGAGGTGTTTGCTCATTAGCAAATAAAGGACATATCAAAACTCCCTGTTTTGGTAACATTACCATGTAGTAAAAATATAAATTGTTTGTCTCATAGTTAGACTTCATTGTATGTTGCTGCCATAGCAGTACCTAAAAGGCATTCTGCAACCTCAGTAAGACTTCACAGGATGATATATCTCGAAAGTTTTCAGATCCAAAAATTTGCTCTTACCAATGTATCCACAGTTGCTCAGAGTTTGGGTTACCTATTAAAAGTAATCAATCCTACAAAAAGTTGATTAATAAACCTGAAAAAATATCTTTTAATGAAAGGTAGACCTTTCCATCTGTTGGGAAACTTAAGATCAGCCTCCCATTCTAACCTAAGTCAGTAGATCTCAGAGGTACTTATTAAGTAGCATCAGAGGAGAAAGAATTGGATGAATTTAAAAATGTTTTATGACAGTTTTGAGAAAAGTTGATTAATTTTCTCTACCTCACAGGAGATTTCACCTTATATTGGCCATTGATAATATCTGTTTCATTATAAGTAATAATTGACATAATATATTTCTGGCACTGTTCTAAGTCTTTACATGTTTATTTAATCCTCAAACCATTCTGTAGGATAGTAGTGGGTACTAGTATTATCCCCACTTTTTAATTACTCTTTCAGTAATTAAATTACTACTCTCCTTTAGATACAGTACCTTAGAAGTTTCTGACAAAAAGTTGATATTTTTTATTTTCAATACTCTTTTTTTTTCTAAACCCTATGTTGATTATTACTCTTTTTCTTTAATTCTTTACTAGACTGATGATATATATGGTTAACCTTAATTTGACTTATGTATTTTTGGTGTTTCCTTAGCAGAAAAGTTTGTAATTTTCCATTATGTATTGACTTATTAGTTTCCCTTTCAAAAATGATCTTTTCTTGGCCTTGTCCTATGAATTGCAAGTAGTTTCCTTTTTTAGCTTTTTAAACACTAGTCATATTCTTTACCATTCAGTGGTGTTTTTGAGATGTCCCCTGGTATAAATTATTAATTTAGAAATTATATTTATGGATATTTTATAGATGTAATTATACTACAGTTAATTCAGGGTATCTTTTAGACATTAGGATTCTACTGCAGAATTTTAGTGTTTACTCCAGGTTTATTGAGAAGACAGGTCTTCATTGAGGCAGACACATATGGGCTCTCACAAGTCTGTTGATTACTGCCTTTAATTTATACTCCTTCCAACTTATTGGAAACAATGCAGAGTAATAACTGCAGGGTGATAAACTCTTCCAAATGCTGTTTTTGGTTATTACAAGGTCAATATCTGAATGAATTGAAAAGAGTTTTTACTTTATTTCAATGAAATTATGAATACTTCTTTATTGTACTGTATGTCTTTTAGGAGGTGATACGATCCTGTGCTGCAAAAGTAAGTAGTTCTTAATACCAGGAAGGTAACTTTAAACTATAGTTTTCATTGTGCTACACCAGAGAGTTGCAATGCATTCTTGTAGAGTTTAGAACTTCTACATAAGTTAATCTGGTATATACTTTCCTTAATTGGAATTAGAATTTTTCAAGGGATTATTACACTGGGATCTTAGAATTCAGTAAAAATTACTTGCTAAAAAATTTAGCAAGTAATTTCACAATTTTGAAGATTTAGGAACAGTAAATAAAAAAAGAATAAAATAAAAGAATATTGTGATGGGGTATATTTTCGGTAAAGAACTAGCAGGTTTTTTCATTCTCTGAGAAAAATTTTATGCTTTGTTTTGTTTTGTTTTGTCTTGTTTTGTTTTGAGGGATGGGGTGCTGGGAATTGAACCCAGGGCCTCACACACACAAGGTAAGCACTCTACCACTGGGCTATATTCTTAGTCCAGATAAATTTTACATGATAATTAATACATAGGAGACATCAACCAGTATTATCTGATGGGTATATGCTAAATAAATTTTATAAGTATTGAAATGCACACAAGTTGCAGTTAATTATATGTTGTGCTGATAATGCTTTAATTATTTATCAAAGTGTTTTGTACTCTTCCCCCATTTAATCATATAATAATCCTGAAGGACAGATTAGATATTATTGTTATTCTTAATTTAGAAAGGAGGAGGCTGAGGCTTACTGAGTTTGTGGTTTACCTGAGAATCCAAATTTAATCTAAGAACTATAGTACACAAAGAGACCCTTGATTAATTAGAGAGTGTGAACTAAAGTGTATGAGATATACACAGCAGCAATCCTCCTTTTACAAACAAGACTAATTTATTTATTTATAACCTTTAACTCAGTTGTTGAGAAAATAAATTAAGGAGTTGGAATGGCCTTGTTTTTTCATTCTTCCCTTTTCTGCCACTTCCAAAGTTCAGTTAAACATTCGTTTATCAAATATAATTATATGTCACAAAATAAAAGATGAGAAGGGAAAGAATTAGAATGGTGTTGGTGTGATCAAAGACTGCTTCATATAGTGTCGATGCAGGAAATTTTTTTTAATTCAATAAGTACCCACTACCATGTGGCAGACACACAGAATGTGGTAGGCTGTTATCTTTTTCCTCATGGGGCATCTTACAGAGGAAACATATCAGAAAATACTGGGCCTACCCCATCACTGAGCTGTCCAATATCAGTCGGGACCTATCACTTTTTACCTAATTATCACAAAGTCAACAAGATATCAAATATAGACAAGAGAAGGAAAATGGAGGAAAAAAGAGAACATGCTATATTCTGACTGGGGCTGCAGATGTTCAGGAAACTTGTTCTGATAGCATTGATTGGTACAATGATTGTAGCTCCAAGATTACTAAATTTTATGTATACACAGTATAAAAGGCTAGTGCCCCCTCAAAAAAAGTTTATTCTCTGACTAGCAATTCAAAGTTATTTCTCTTTTATTTTTAACAAATATATTGCATGCCCTTCTTTTGTGATGCTGTCTGAATGCCCAAAGAGTAAAAGCATCCTGCACACATTTAGCCAATCTGTATGGAGAATGTTCTCTACATAAATGTAACGGGAAAGTGAATGCTCATAAATGAAAAAGTAGAATGAATGCTCATTGAAAAAAAAATGATCACATATTATATCTGGAAAGATTAACCTTATTAATATCTTCAGTTTTTCTTTGTAAATATGTTTTATTGAGATGTAATTCACATACCACAATATTAATCTTTTTTAAAAGTATGTAATTCATTGCTTTTTTACCCTATTCAAGTTATGCAACCATCCAGCTTTGATTTTAGAACTATTTCATTACTCCAGAATGAACTCCCGTATCTGTTAGTAGTCATTCCCAATTCCTACATGCTCACACACACATCACAAACTCATGGTAACCACTAATATACTTTCCATAGTTTTGCCCATGCAGGACATTATATATGAATGGGATTGTATAATATGTGGTCTTTTGTAACTTTCTTTTACTCAAAATGATATTTTAAGCATTCTTCATTTTCTAAATGTCTCAGTATTGTTTTTTATTGCCAAAGAAGATTCCACGGTCTGGATATGTTACATTTTACTAATCTCTTCATCAGTTTATGAACATTTGAGTTGTTTCTACCTTTTAGCTATTAAAAATAATACTACTGTGAACATATTTTGGGAGATGTGGACATTTTTATTTCTCTGGGGTTTAATATAGGTGTGGACTTATTGAGTCATATGGTAACTCTTATTTTTGACAGTTTGAGGAACTGTCAAACTATTTTCCAAAGTGTATGTACCATATTAGAATCCCACAAACAAGGTATTTTCTTTGGAAAGATATTTCTTCAAATCCTTTGCCCTGATTTTAAATTGAGTTTCTTGTCTTTTTTGTTGTTCACTTTCAATAGGTTTTTATAGTTTTTATATATATTGAATACAAATGTTTTATCTGATAGATAATCTGCAAATATGTTTTCCCATTTATATTATTTCCATTTTCTTGATGTTTTTCTTTGAAATAAAGAGGTTTTCATTCATTTTTCTGAAGTTCATTTTATCTTCTTCTTCTTCTTTTTTTTTTTTTTTTTTGGTCACTTGTCTCTGTTGTGTCACATGTAAAAAAAACATTGCCTAACCCTGTCTCAAAGGTTTACATTTTCTTCTATGAGTTTTATAGTTTTGGTTCTTAAATTTAGGTCTGTGATTCTTCTTTTTTTTTTTCTTATGATGTGATATACTAATTGAATTTCATTCTATTGCATTTGAATCTGCTGTTGTTTTAGCACTTCTTTCACATTGAATGGTCTTGTTATTCATCAAAGGTATTTCATCTTCACAGCACAGTATATGCACTTTCTCATCTTTTAGATCCTGGATAGTAAATTTTCATTAGGGCTTGTTAAATAAAAGTTTTTTCTTTCTTAAATTCCAGCCATATTTTTACTTTGTTGAAAGCTTATTTATTTTTTTCTAAATATTCTATTTATATTTCTAATTTATATTTATAAATATAAATATTTATTGGTGCTTACCAAGTATTTTTCTAAATGCTTGGGATGTAACAGTGAACAAAAACATTTTATTATAGACAGACAAAGGAAATAAGTGATACAAAGAAAATAAGTCCATGGGATAAAGAATGCTTGCAAGTGGGGGCTACTCTCAGGATATCATGGGAGCCCTCTCAGAAAAAAATCCTTAACAAGGAGCTAATTGTTTCCTAAATTCTGATCTTAGGAGTAGTACTGGCATGCTCAAGGAGCAGAAAGACCTGTGCTTAAGAAAGTAGTGAAGAAGCAAGGGGAAGCATGTTTTCATGAACAGGGTAAGGGGTAATCAGTAGTAGATCATGCAGATTCTATTAAAGGGTCTTGCCAGCATGATTAGGAGTTAGAAATAGTATTTTAATCAGAGAAACCATCCAGGAAGAATAGAATGAATTGTAAGAGAATGAGTCTTTTAAGCAGAGAAGCCAGCAGACTGTTATTATAGTCCATAAAGAGGAGACCTCTCTTTATGTAGTAGGCCTCTGTTAGTGTAGTAATAATGAAGATGCAGGCAATGGACAGTTTTGGTCTATATTTTGGGAATAGAGTCATCAGGACTTGGTGATGTGTTCAATGTGGTATAAGTGAAGGAATGAGGAATAAATTTCATGTTTTTGGTTTCAGTAATTGTGTGGGTTCTGGTGGTATGCTTTTTTTAATTAATTTTTTTATTTCTATATGACAGTGGAATGCATTATAATTCTTATTACACATATACAGCACAATTTGTTATATCTCTGGCTATATACAAAGTATATTCACACCAATTTGTGTTGTCATACATGTATTTTGCATAATAATGTTCATCACATTCCACCATCATTTCTAACCCCATGCTCCCTCCCTTCCTATCCCATCCCTCTGTTCTTTTAATGTGAGGAGTACTAGAGTCGAGGGAGCAAGTCGTAAAAGTAGAGTTTTAAATATAGGGATATCTATGAGGTTGACAGTGGATATATGAGTCTCATATTTGGTAGTGAAGTCAGGACTAAAGTCTTTCTTTCTTAGAGTCTTCCTTCTTTCCTTCCTTTTTTAAGCTGATAGACTGAATGATATCACATGGCATATCAGTAAAGAAGAGCCTAGAGTAGTTCAAGAAAGAAGAGTGGTAGATGGTTGTATACTGCTGAGAGAATAGTAAGATAAAGACAGAGAGTTGACCTTTGTATTTGGCAAGATGTTGGCCTTTGGTTACTTTGGTAAAAACTGTTTCATTAAATAATGTAGACAAAAGAACAAGAGAAATGGGTTGAAAATGGAACCTGAGTGAATTAATCTGAGACCAGAAATATAGGCCATTCTTTTAAGGAATTATATCATGGCTGGGGATCAGAGAAACAGGGCAGGAGTGGAGGGGAATATTAGGTGGAATATTAAAGCATACTTACTTGCAGATGGGAATAATTTGGTGGTAGTTTAAAAGTTGATAATGTACCATGGAGGTAGTAATTACTGGAATCAAGTCCTTTACAAAAAAAAGTGAGAGGGAATATAATCTTGAGTTCAAATGGAGGGACTATTCTAAAGAGAAAATAAAAATATAGATTTGATGATGGAAGGGTGAGAGAGTTCTCATCTTATTGCTGTCCAGGTAGTAACTGGTATTGAGGTCTTGAAGAGGATTTAATCTTCTTTTTCTTTTTCTTTTTTTTTTTTAATTATATTCATCCCGGGTAAGTGATAATAAATGCAGCCAAGTAAAAATTTATTAAATTATGTTTAGTATAAGAATTCTATAAATGTAAAGTAGTAATCTATATTATAGTCTAATCTATCTTGGAACATATTATTTACTGAAAACATTTTAAAATGTTTAAAAAATAGAGATTCCAGAGAAAACTGCTTATTAAAAATATATTTATTTATTCATTTGGGACCTGGGTTAAAAGAGAAACTTTCCTTAGCTTATTTAGTCTTTTGCATTCAGTTTTATGTTTGGGACAGTGAGGTTCTTAACATTAAAATGAACCCATTTCTAGAGAATTAATGTTTGCATATTTTGCATAAAGCTGCGTATGCTCTAAAAGAGTAGGCAAAACAGTTTTGTAATTAACTTGGCAGAAGTTCTAGGTGATTTTTTTCTTTTTACCTACCATGAATTTCATTCAAGTTTTATGCTTTAAGTGTTCTTCAATATGGAGGTACTAAACTGACTTTGGCAGACTGTGGTTTTTGCGTGAAGCAAGCAGAAAATGTGTTGTGAAAAGAGGGTAGATCGGTATAGGGTAGACTATCTTAGCCAACCTTTCTGTTGTTGTAAAATTATTAAGCAATTCTTTTCCACAGCATATATTTCAAAAATAGATGTTGCTTCACTCTATCTAATGGTTATTATTATTTTTCTTCCTCTAAATGAAGTGATAAATATATGGAAGCTAGCTTTGAAAACACTTTGAGTTCTAATTTCAATTGACTAATACTAACAATAATAACAGTTTTTGCAAACCTTGAAAATTGCCTTATCTGCTCTGTTGTGTTACTATACATCACTTAATGGAAATTTGAATAGCCTCCAAAGAAAGGTGTCAAGAAATAACAGAATTATATAAAAAAAAAACTCCACAAGAATATGTAATTATAATTATCTTTCCAAACAACATTTTATTTAAAAAGAGTGATAAGTTTTTCTGTTTGAGCAGAGGCATTCAGTACACTCTTCAAGCTTTGCTGGTGTTTTTGTTTTGTTTTGTTTCAGTGCACATAAATTGTGCACATAGATTTCTAAAGAGGACAACTATAAAAGTCATTGTAGGTACTGTGTGTGTGTGTGTTTGTGTGTATCCATGACCATACAGAGATACAAACATAGATTCATATCTCCAGCATACACCTGTTAATTTACAACAGATCTTAAAATACATTGTTTGGCATGTAGGAAAATCATTTTCAAGAAACTGACAAAAGGAATGAATATATAGTTAAGTGATAAATGTGTCCTTTTGTATATAGTACTTACATTTAAAATTATAGATTCTGATTTATTGCATCACCATATTACATTAAATATCCTAATTCTCTTACTTTTAGATGATGTTAATAATAATAATTAAATTTATATAGCACTTTATATTGTACTTAAAGTTTGGGGGGTTTTTGGTTTAGGTTTTTTTGTTTGTTTGTTTTTGTTTTTTACATTTCTTCAGATCAAACCCAGAGCTTTGTGCATGCTAGGCAAGCACTCTACCACTGAGCCATACCTTCAGTCCTATTTAACCTATTTCTTACTTAATGTTACTTAGTGTTTTATGGTTAACATGTAAATATCACTTTATAATACCAGATGTTCATATGTATTGGCACATCCCCATTAACTCATAGATATTATTTTTATAATCTCCATTTAAAGATGGATAAGGAAGCTCAAAGATATTGGTTTTGTTTTTATTTTAGATACAATTAATATAAATAATCAACTTAATTTTGGTCAGTGTTTGATAATGGAGTCTGAGAATTTTTAAAGCTGGACAGTATTTTAGCACTGAGGTGATATTTGACCGCTTTTGACTACTTTGAAAAATAGTTTTGTGTTTTATTAAATGTCATAATAACCATTTAGGTACTTTAGAATTGTGTTAGTACATGTTCTTAATTGATTTTTTACTGAATCTGCTAAAATTCTTTGCTCCAAGAGAAAAAGTTAATCTAAGATATAGCATTACTATTTGAAAGAAAGGAAGCATTTACAAATATGCAAATAATGAGTCAGATAAATTGCTTATAACCCCAGCCCAGAACTATCTTATTTAAAGCCCCAAATACTGATGCAGAAGTCCACTCTGTGGTTTTTAATATTTAAACCAAAGTAAGTAAATAAATAAAAAGAAAAGGAACTATTTTTATATATTAATATTTATGTCATAATTTATAATTTTAGCTTTCTTAATTCACCAATTACATATGTGCAGTGAACTAAAATATTATATTGTTCCAATTTTTAAAAAAATATATCACATTTTATCATGATTCATAGTAATAATTTTAAAAAATTGCTGACTTATTAATAATGAACTAAGGACTTGCTTTTTTCCTGAAATTCATTCTAGTTTACAATATAAATGTCTTCATAAACACTTCAAACTTTTTTAGTGAACGATTATTTTTTACATAGCCAAAATACATGTTTCATTCCTGTGAGATTGTTGTACTGACAATCATAATAAGTTTTACATGTTGTGTAAAACCTTACATTTACAGAAATTTTGCTTAATATTATTTCTAAAGTCATGCTGTTTTTAAACAGAATAACTGTTTCACAGAATAACTGTTTCACAAGTTAAGTTACAGCTGTGTTATCTCTGTCACCCTGATTTATATAAATGCTAGTCTTACAGGTGTTTTCTCTACAGTCTATAAAAAGGAAGTACCTGCTATTTCACTAAAATGCTAGAGAAATGTGGATATGAAACATTTTACACTCTTAATTAAAAGCATTTAAAGAGTCATTGTACTTTTTGCATGGATTAAGACTACTCTGTTTTATTAATGATGTTAATTTCATAATAAGCAAACTTTAATAAGATTTATTTACTTTAATATAGTTAACTTTCATCATCACTGTATACCTTTCTTGATAAAAACTATTTTGTTTTTTGTTTTGTAAACTTTTAAAACTAATTATATAAATCATTACCACTTCTTTTAACCCATCATATGTTTTGATTTGGCTAGTAAGCAAATATTTCACATCCAGTTTTTGCATAAGTAACCCAGAAAATCATGCTGTAGTTTCTGATTTGCATTCTCTATTGCAGGTCAACAAAAATCTCTCATTTACTTCACCACCACCAGCCTCCTCACAACAGTCTAAGTTAAAACAGTCAAACATGCTGTCCGCTCATGAGATTCTACATCAGTTTGGTTTCACTCAAACCGGTGAGCCCCTTTCTTACTTTGACTATTATTTTAAGTGTTCAGATGTTATTTTTAAAATGAATTTACATATTTCTCTTCCAGAAACAAAATAGCATTTTAATGGTCAGTTTCACAGTTGATAAATTCTATTCAGTCATCTTTTTTTCCTTGAAATCACAGAAATTATTTCAAAGAAATTTAGATTTGTTAACTTGAACAGTAGCTATTCTGAACCTGTATTCTGTTAAACAGATAATAACTTAAAGGTGAAGAAATATGAGTTTTAAACATGTATAATTCTAAATTTAATTCAGTGTCCCAGCTGTGTAAAGAAACCATGGTTTACAACTAATTCTATTTTTCATCTTAAGTAAAGTCAAGATAGAATGAATGTACTTTGGAAGAAATAGGATGCAACCTGCAGAGAGATCACATCCCCTAAAAGTTGGCAAATTAATAAAATATGCAAAAAAGCTTGTTTCAGAAATCTACATGAATTACTGAGTTGATATGAACTATTCAATTGTAAATTTTTAGGCTAATATTCAAATTTAAATAAGGTTTTCAGAGGATATCAAAGAAAAACTTATAAGTGAGAAAAGTTTATTTTGCATTGAAAAATGACTTTTTCTCTTTGTTAACTATATATTTCTTTTTTTAATATTTATTTATTTATTTCTAGTCGTACATAATACCTTTATTTTGTTTATTGATTTGTATGTGGTGCTGAGGATCGAACCCAGGGCCTTGCACATGCTAGGCAAGCACTCTACTGCTGAGCCACAGCCCCAGCCCTGTTAGCTATATATTTCTAACAGTAATTTTCCTATTACTGAATTCTTTAAGAAATGTGAGATAACTGAAAATTACAAAACAATTACTTTTTAACAAAAACATTAAAAAGAAATTTGAGTTTGAAAAGATCAGCATAATTTTCTTAGAAGTTCAGAGATACTGTCATTTTCAACCTTGAAAGTATTTTGGAATTTACATGTACAAATTATTTTAAGTTTGCTGTATAAGTTATATACTATAATGAAAAAATATTTGAATTCAGAAGGCTTACAGTAGTGCTGGTTGTCTTTTATTATATCTGTGAACCCAAGACTCTTCATTTGAAAATGGATAATGGTGTTCAGATGACATATCTGAAAACACTTACGTAAACATAAGTATAAATGTTGACATTGTAAACATGGTGAATATGTGTAAGCTAGGTTTGAAAAAACTTTGACTTCTAAATTCAGATCATTATAGTAATTAACCATTATCTCAAACCTCAAAAATTTCAATTTGTCTTGTTTCAGATATCTAACAGAAGTTAAAGCAATAGTGCTGATCATTGATATTTACATTGGCAGGTGCAGCATATACTATATGCTCCTTTAGACTTAGTCTTTGTACCCTAAATACATAGATGGTTTTCCTTTATAACTTGTCCTTTTAATGACTTAGGAGGGAGCTTTCCATCTTTGTGCTTAGGTCAGAATTTCTGGGAACAAACCTTTCAGTCCACATTTCTGGATTAAAGGCTTAGAAGATAAATGTCAGTTGTTAAATAAAGATAAATGTTAACATATTGTTTAAAATTTATTTAAATAGTGTCTTCTGTCTTGTCAGCCAACATTGTGTAGATAATGAATATAAAGTGCTTTTATTTTTTGTGAAGAGGAAGAGCAGAAGGATAGATAGGAAAGCCTTTGAAATGTTAAGAGGGATTATCACTAAAACAGATAAAGAATAGAGATGAAGAACAGAGGAACAGCTGGATATGATAAGGGCAAGCCTTGCAAACTTCACATACATAGAAGTGGCTCAATTTCCCTTTAGATCCCATGGCCGTGCAGGCCACAAATGGGATATCTACATCCTGGATGTCTCTCCACATGTGCACTATCTCAGAGGTATTCTCATTTAGCCATGCAATGCATGGTTACATGGCCATACCAAAATCAGTTGCTAACCTCACTATAAGGCATATCCTTCCTAGAAAGTTTATTAAAATGGAAAAATGATAAAAGAAGAATATGTGGTCTATATGGAAAAATGATAAAAGCAGAATGATCGATTGCAAAATGGCCAAGTTCTCCATTTTATTCATTAAAAAGCCAGTCTCTGTGGAAGATATTCTGTGTAGGGAACTAGGTAGACTAGTTTCTAGACCTGGCCCTATTTCTAAATGACTGTAGAATCTTGAGCAGTATTTTACAGGTTTCAGTTTTCTTGTCCCCTACAAGTGAAGACTTTGGATTAGATTTCTTTCTTTAAAATTATGTGATTTTATTCAGTGTTCAAATAAGTTTTTAAATAAGTGTTCTTGATTTTACAAATCTATTAGAATCCAAAATACAGGACTACAGAACAAATAATATGGATATAGTGTTTTAAAATCTCAAATGAAAACCTATCTGAAATATGTAGGTCATACAATGTTTGTCTTTATAAAGTATAGGGAAAATCTGTTCACACAGAGCTAATATATATGATCCTGCTTACAATTATGTGAAGAGATATATGAACAGGGTTGGATCTTTTTTATATATAAATTACATATAGGTGAGTTTACTTGCTGGATGTCTCAACTGCGATGTGGGCTTTTATGTTCAGCCAAACATATATTGACCTTATTAATTCAAGGTAAGGTCTAGGTAATGAGGACTGTTAGAAAACTAAGCATTTCTTTCCTCGTTGGTTTATTTTCCTCAATTTCTAGAATACTGCCTTATTCATTATAAAGTCATTTTAAGTATCTACTTTGTTTTATGTCCTCTGTCAAAGATATGGAATAAATATTACAATCTCTGCATTCAAGAAGCTTTTGATTGGGTTGAGGAAAAAAATCAGTAGGCAACAAACTAAGTCACTGTGATATAAACAATGAAATCACAGACCATCAGAGTATCACAGCAATAAAGAGAGAGAGAAGAGTTAACAGGTTTTTTCAAACTACATATCCAAATAGACCTCTTGATTCTCTAGCCCCAAAACCTGCCTTCTACCTCAACTTCCTCTACTACACCTCAGATCTTCGTAATCCCAGCGCTTCATACCACATTGACTCAATTGTTTAGGGAAACTTGGAGCCATAATTGAGTCTTTCTTTTCCCTCCACTTCCTACTTGTCTATGGAGTTCAGTTGTTTGATCTGTCTTACTGCAGTGATCTGTATCCTTTGTATTCACCCTAAATAAAATTTTTTGTTACCATACTTTAATGTATATTGTGTGTGTGTGTGTGTGTGTGTGTGTGTGTGTGTGTTTTAATAACTTGACATGGCTAGGTAATGGTTTGTTTAGCTGGAAATGGTGGAATGGATGCTTAGGGAAAACTGGGTCTGCAAAGATAGATTGGAGCCAAATTGTGCTATGCATAGGAATTCACATTTTATTCTTCAACTAGAAGAGTTATCCAAGGTATGAATATGAAAGATATGATAAAATATGCTTTTAAATGGGATGGGACACTTCCAGATTCATTCTGTCAAGCCAGTACCACATACCAAAACTAGCTAAGGACATGTCCAGGAAAGAAGACTATAGATTAATATTCCTGATGAACTTAGATACAAAAATACTTAATATTAGCAAATCATGTTCAACAACATATTCAGATTATACACCATGACTGAGTTGGTTTTATTCTAGAGATGCAAGACTGGGTTTCATATATGCAAATCAATAAATGTAATTGGGGCTGGGATGTAGCTCAGTGGCAAAGCGTCTGCCTTGAATTCGCAAAGCCCTGGGTTCGACCCCCAGTTCCAAAAAAGACAAAAAAAAAAAAAAAGAACCCCACCAAAAAAAATAAGATTAAAAAAAAATGAATAAATGTAATTCATCACATAAATAAAATTAAGAACAAAGATAACTTAGTCATCTCAATAGATGCAGAGAAGGCCTTTGACAAAATTCAGTATGAATTCATGATAAAAATACTAAAGAAACTAGGGATAGAAGAAACATACCTCAAAGTCATAAAGGTTATATGTGAAAAACCCAGAGCCAGCTTCATTGTAAATGGGGGGAAAACTGAAAGCATTTCCTTGAAAAATCTGTAATAAGACAGGATGTCCTCACACCACTTCTATTTAAGATAGTGCTAGAATTTATAGTTAGAGTAATTAGGCAAAGAGAAATAAAGGGGATTTAAAATAGGAAAGGTAGAAGTCAAATTATCACTGTTTGAAAATGGTATGAGCCTATACTTAAAACATCCAAAAAATTCCACCAAAACACTGCTAGAGCTAAGAAATAAATTCAGCAAAATAGCAGGTTACAAAATCAACGTAGAAAAATCAATAGCTTTCCTATATACTAATAATGAATCTACTGAGAAAAAAATCAGAAAAGCAATTCCATTACAATAGCATTGAAAAATACAATAAAATACCTAGAAGTAAATCTAACTAACAAGGTGAAAGACCTCTACAATGAAAACTGTAGAATATTGAAGAAATTAAAGATATTCTCAGAAGATGGAAACACCTTCCATGTTCATGAATAGGCAAAACTGATATTGTTAAAGTGGATACAAAAGCAATTTGCAGATTCCATGCAATTCCCATCAAATTACCATTGATATTCTTTACAGACTAGAAAAAAACAGTCCTAAAATTTATTTGGAAGAATAAAAAACCCGCAATAGCCAATGAAATTCTAGACAGGATGTCCCTCCCCAAACAAAAACAATGCTGGAAGCATCACAATATCTAACTTCAAATTATATTACAGAGCTATAATAACAAAAACTGCATGGCATAATGACTGACATAAAAACCAATGGAACAGAATAGAAGACCCAGGACAAACCCACACATCTACAGTCTTCTGATTCCTTTTTTTTAAATATTTTTGTTTTAGTTGCCAATGGAGCTTTATTTATATGTGGTGCTAAGAATTGAACCCTGTGCCTCACACATGCTACGCAAGTGCTCTACCACTGAGCCATGACCCCAACCCAGTCATCTGGTTCTTGACACAGGTGCCCAAAACATACATTGGAGAAAATACAACCTTTTTAAC